GGGTGGGGGGTGGGTGATCCAAAGACAACTTTAGTCTTATCTATACAGGTTTTTATTTTGCAGGGAGAATGTATTCATATATTCACTATGCAATTAAAATTTATTTAAAAAATATTTTTTAAGAGACAGGGTCTCACTCTGTCACCCAGACTGGAGTGCAGTGGCACAATGATAGCTCACTGAAACCTCGAACTCCTGGAATGGAGCAATCCTCCCTTGGCCTCCCAAGTAGCAGGGAGTATAGGTATGCTTATTAATTTTTTGTAGACAGGGTTTTGCTATGTTGCCCAGGCTGGTCTTGAACTCCTTCCTCCAGTGGTCCTCCCACCTTGACCTCCCAAAGTGCTGGGATTACAGGCATGGGCCCCATGCCCGACCATGATTATAAATTAATTTCCAAACACTCAATGCCCTCCCCACTGCAATACGTGGGAAGCGTGGAGGGAACTGGCCACACAAGGCATGCCTTGCTCTGCGCAGGGCATGGGTGGGAGGAAGATGGCGCGTGCACGAGGGCCTGGAATGCCAGACCACAGACACGGAACCACCCACAAACGCCAGTGCTGCAATCCCCACCCGTCCTCATGCGCCTTGGACTCCAGCAATCTGGTCTAGGCAGCCCCTTCCTGGAGGCTGGAGGTGACTTTCAGGCCTTGCCCTGCTCTGCACCTGGAGAGGAGTGGGCCTGCCTGCTGGGGCCGGAGACAGAACCTGGATCACCGTAAGGAAGAACTTTCTAATTCTCTCAAGTGCCCAAGGATAGAACGGGCAGCCTGAAGAGGCACTGAGCTCCCTGTCGCTAGAAGTATGCAAGTTCATGTTAAAGATGCAGCTGAGGGCTCTCTCAAGCTTGCAGAAGAGCCCTTGGCTCCTGTGATCCCATGAATCCTAAATGCCTTCATTCCAACATGCACTATGCTAAGCCTTTGCAGGCATCACCTTCCTCGTTTCTCATCATCCCACCTGCGTCCTGTTTCAGACAAGGAACTGAGGCTCAGCGCATTACGGAACTTCCCCAAGACCGTGCAGCCAGAAAGGGGCAGAGCCGGGATTGGAACCCAAGGCTCTCCGCTTCCAGGCCTGTGCACCCATGCACACCCTCAGCGCCACCATGGATCACTGTGATCTAATGGCATGTGAGGTTTTTGATCTCTGTTTATTCACCTGCAAAGTGGGGATTGTGTGGCCACCCCCATCCCAGGAGGCAAGGCAAGAAGGACAGAAGGGGCCAAATGCATGCCACAGGGCGTTCACACAGCTTCCGTGTCCTGGGCTCCAGGATGCCCTTGGACTGCAAGCCTTCAAACAAGCTGTGGGCTGCCCAGAGGCTCCTCCTTGCTGCTCTCTCCCCGTAGCTAGGCCCATCAGAGCCCCCACCCAGTGGTCCTGGCCCCTACAAGTCTCCATTCCTAAAGGGAGACCCATTCCCCTCCTCCTTCCCCTCCAAAGCACTGGAGGAAAACCCCTCCCCCACCCTTCCAAAAACATCTGGAGGCATAGCTAGGATTTCCAGATCCAAATGCAAATCCTGACTCAACACTCTACCCTGTGTGACCTTGGACAAGTTCTTCCCCTTCTCTGAGCCGGTTCCTCCATCAGTAAACACAGATAAGATCAGCCTTGTCCCCAGGGCTTAGAGAAGATTAAAAAAAATAAGAGAGAGATGGGCACTTAACAGTGTGCACTTGATACTTATTCTAAAAAGGCACCGGATCCACCATAAGCAGATAACCGTTCACATTCCTCCACCCCAGCCCTGTGGTCCCCACTCGCCCAGGCCCAGTACCAGTCCTTGGCCTGTTAGGAAATGGGCCTCCCCCAGCTCTGCACCCCACTCCCCACCCCCCGTCTGTGGGAAAATTGTCTTCCATGAAAACATTCCCTGGTACGAAAAAAGGGTGGGGACCCACTGTTTAGCCACACAAAGATCCACAGCATCACAAGGCCTTTTTTTTTTTTTTTTACAAAAAGAATTGTCTCTAGATCAAACTGATCAAACTTGCCTGCCTCCTTTTTTAAGAGGCTGTCTATCTCATGGAACCTTCTAGACTAAAGAAAAAAAAAAAGAGGCTGTCTATATAAATTCATATTTCCCTTTTTGCTTAGGCTGCCAGGAAGTTCAACGAAGAATCAACAGCCTTCAATTTGCTACAAGTCAATTCCCCACTGTGCAGCACCGGCTCTTAAAAATAATACTTTTAACTCTTTTGTCTTTGGCTTCCTATCATATTCCCTCTAGTGCTCTTTCTGGAACTAGATGGCATGAGGAGTGTGACAAATCAGCGAACACCAACAGACGCGTGTGAAGAATACTGAGGCTGGCTCTTCAGGACGTGTTGTGATACTGGATGAAGAACGGGTCCTCTTAAGGAGCTGGGGGTCTTTCTACTCGCCTCCCCTTCCTGCCACACCAACAACAGTCACCATATTCTGGGAAATAGGGGGTTTGATGGGGAATTAGTGTCCATCTTCTCATTACCGCCTCCTCCACGCAGCCTTCCCTGATCCCTGCAGGGAAGCAGTTACTTGGGGCAACTGACCAAGAGCTCTGGCGAGCAGGCACTGGGCCTGGCGTCTCCATCACCCACTCCACGGTGCCAGAGCCTGGGCAGGAGGCAGAGAGTGGAATTAAGACCATGGGCCACAAAACTCACTTCCCTGGAGGAGGGCAAAGAATTGACCTCTGAGCCTCAGTTTCCTCACCTGTAAAATGGGGCAGAAAAGACGATACAAAGCCCTTGGCGAAGGGCCTGGTGCTTGCCCAGCAGATGGGAGCCAGCACGGCTTTTCAGCAGGCAGTGGTGCCTGCGGGGCGAACCCCCACGTTAGACCTAGTGGATGGTCCTACCAGAGAAACAGCTTCTCCAGCGAGCAGATCGCTGAAGGCATGAGAAGGTGCAGGGGTCTCCAGAACCCCGACGAGAGGCCCTCGTCCCACCAACCAAACACACTGCAGGAAAGGGGCCAAGGGCGCCCATGCCCCACACCTAGTCCCCGAGAGCCTGCAGCCCATGTGCTAAGCACCACGTGACCCCTGGCCAGTGCTAGCTTCTGCCCAGGCCTCAGTGTCCCCATCTGTGAGATGGGCCCCAGATGCTCAGGGCTGCACTGGGCTGCTGGGCCCACAGGGGACCCCCCATCAGGAACATAAGCCTCCTCCAGCGGTCCCTGCAGTCCACCGCAGGGCCCTGCCCGCTCTAATTCCAACTCCGTTCATCCCCGGTATAGTGATCCTCCATTGCTCTGGTCCTGCCCGCCAGGGGTGGCCCTCAGGATTCACCCTGCTGTGCCAGTTATCCTCTGCTGTTCTAAAAGCTCCTAAGGCCACCAACAGAACCAAGTCCCTGTCGCTGGCAGAGGTATGCAAGGCCCTGGGCTTCTGGCTGCGCCAGAAACAAGCGCTTCACCTCCAGCTTCACCAGCCTGTCCGCTAGCTACTCCCGAACCCGCCTTCGTCGGGCCACCAGGTCTGGGCTCACACTGCGCCCCCGCTTTGGAACACCCTTTCCCTGCCCCTGCCTCAGATTTCAGTGAAGTCCCAGCTCAAAGCCACCTCCTCCATGAAGCCTTCCTGGTCAGGGCACTGGTCTTCCTCTCTGCCGGTGGACACCCCTTCTCACAAGCCGCCTGGGCCTGGGCGCCCGGGAAGCTGCTCAGGGCTGTGCCCCTCACGACCAGCCCGGAGCCCAGCACCCCTGCAGCCCGGGGCCACTGGCTCTGCCCATCTGCACATTTAAATGAGCCCAGAACCCACCCTCCAGGCGGCTCCTGCCCCCAAGATAGAATCTCCCTCTCCAAAACAAACAAACTCTGGGAGGAATTAAAAATGTAGATTTCTGGCCTCACTTCCCGAGATTCCAATTCCAAATCCGCATTTGCCCTGGGGCTGGGGTCCAGGAATCTGCATTCTGCGGGAGATTCAGAGGCGGGTGGGGGAGGGCGCCCACAAAGGGAGATCTGAGAAATCCGGAAATGGAGACGGCAGGGACGCAGGTGGAGGTGGACAGAGGGAGACCCGATCTCAGCCCAGGGTTCGGCCGAGGTGTGACCACCTGCTTTCCTCCCCGGCCTGGCAGCCTCGCCAGCACCCCGCAGTAGGGGACGGCGGGCTCTGGCCACTCGCTGGATCGCGAAGGGAAATGGACCCTGACCCCTGTCCAGTTCCACCCTAGTGACCTGGAAACGGTCCTCTGCGGGCGGGGACGCCTCCCGCGGGACCGCAGGAGCAGATGCCCAGCGTCCAGCCCCTCAGCGGAGGGCACAAGGGGAAGACAGCGAATACCCGGGCCCGTGACCGTGACCGGCGCGGGGCGGGCGCGTTCCCATCGGTCCGCCTCAACGGGGGCTGCACAGGGGCCCGGGAGGGGTAGGAGCTTTGCCTCCCCTTCCTCAGTAATCCCTTCCCCCGGCGCAGGGCGCCGCATCTCGGCCCCGTGGGGCAGGCCAAACCGGCTGGAACCCGGCGGGCCACCCAGAGGCAGCCAGAAGAGCCCGGCTCGGGCGCAGGAGCCACGCCGGAGTGCACGCGCCGGGCGGGCGGGCGGATGTGCCCTCTCGATTAGACAGACGGGCGCGGCCACGCGGAGCCGCTGGGGGCTGGGCAGAGGTGGCCGAGAGCGGACTTTGCCCCGGAGTGGGTTCCCTGGAGGGCTGGGGGCACAGTCCCGGCGGAGAGGGGCAGGGAGGGGGAGAAGGAGGGGATGACGGAGTTGTGCGCAGTGACCGTGGCTCACGCGGGCGCTTTTGCGGCCGTTGGTGACCACCTCGGAGGGCTGGCGATGGGGCGTGGGAGAGTGGGCACTCTGCAGCGGGTGCGCGCGCGGGCTCGCAAGGACGGCGCTGAGGGGTTGCGGGGCGCGCCCGGGGTAGGCCGGGCGCGTCGGGGCGCCTCTGCGCCTCGGTACGGAGAGTTTGGGCCGCGAAGAACCGACGCAGCCCCCGGGGTCCCCCAGCCCTCCGGGCGCGCCGGGAGCCCCCCCCAGCCCCCGGGCGCGGCTCACCAGCTGCAGCAGCATGAGCGCGCCGAGGCTGGAGCGCACGAAGCCCAGGTCCGGGCGCAGCGCCGAGACGGAGGCGCCGGCGCCCTGCGCGGGGCTGCTGGTCCGCGTGCTCACTTTGGACGGGAACTCGGCCATGGCGCCTCGGCTCGCCTCCCGCCGTCGCTCCTGCCGCCGTCGCCGCCCCTGCAGCGGAGGGTGCCGGCTCCCGCGCCGCCGTCCCCGGGGCTCCCGCTGCGGCTGCGGGCGCTGCGCCGGGCGTCGGGGCGGGGAGCCAGGGCCGCCAGGTGCGCCCCGAGCCCGCCCCGCCCCGCCCCGCGCGGCCCGCCCCCTTAACCCTTCGCTCGCCGGGCGGGCCGCCGCCACCGCCCCTTCGCGGCCCGGGCCGCTTCTCGCCCCGCAAGACTGAAACCCGGGTCGGCGGGGTGGCTCCGCCAGCACCAGCCTAGACGGGCGCGCGGGTCACCCCGGACAGCGCCTGCTGGGGTTCCCCCGCGCTCCCGGCGCCCAGCCTCCGCGCCTCGGGGTAAGTGGCGGCGGCCCGCCGAGGGGCCCCTCTCCCAGATGGTGCCCTGGCCGAGCCCCGCGCCTCTCTGGGCTCCCTCCGTGAAGCGGGATCGCAGCCCCGCGCGCCGACGCCGGCCGAGTCCCGGGACACCCGGCGCGGGGGAGGGGATGGTCTGCGTGAACGGTGGGCGCGCGGGAGCGCTGGGTCGGGGCCTTTTGTGACTGCAGATGCAGGTCTCGCTTCTGAGCACACTGCACGCAACTTCGAAGGTAGCTGAGCTTCAGGGCCCTCGTCTGTCATAGATAGGAAGGGACATCGGAGCTGTCCCGGGGAAGGCACGGAACACTGCGTGCAAAGAGGCTGGCACGCGGTGAGGGAGGACGGTCGCCCGGAAGGTGGAGGTGATGTCAAGGTCACAATTTCATTGCTCCGGGCGGGGCAAAGGCAATATATGTCACCTAAATGTTTATACCCCCGAAATATGCTGAGATTAAAAAAATAAAAATAAAACAATTTCATTGCTCCCCATGCACCCTAAAACCCTCGTGCGCGCACTCACCTTGAGGCATAGACGTTTGTACACATAGTTCATTCATTCATTCATCAACCAGTGTTTGCCAAGCACCTACTACATGTCAGGCCTTGGGAATACAGGATACAAACTAGACAGGGCGGCCCCGCGGGGTGGCTCACGCCTGTAATCCTAGCACTCTGG